AGAGTGTTCTAGAAGTTCTAAGGGCACAACAGGTAAGGGTACAGTAGCGAAACTACTTCATTTATGCTTAAACTAGAGAGTTTAGGATCTTAATTTATTTAAAGCCATAGATTCAGATTAGCTTTCACCTAGACAGAAAGTAAAAGGCATTTTTACAAGTAGAAGAGGCGCTGAGAAATGAGGCAGCACGTAATATGTCAGAGCTGGAACAAGGGCAGAGGTCAGGACGAGTCTGGCTATTAGCTTTGTCCTTGATTACGAAGGCCAGCCTTTTTGTTCCTCTGGAAAATCAGCATACCAAGTTCCTAGAGAAGTATATAGAAAAAAGTACCTGTGGTTAGATTTTTTTGGATTAAATATTAATATACTAAATAACAAATCATTATTAAAAATGTCAGCAATAGTATCTCCTAAGGCTGATCTGAGGATTAAATAACATAATAAATGTAAAATACATAATAGAGTGCTTAACACAGTGCTCAATAATGCTCTTTTCTACCATGACAGTTCTCCCCACCCAAACTATTAATTTATCAGGTTGGTCAGAACTATCTTTTCTTCTGACCTAAAAGAAGAAAGATATTTTCAAAGAGAAGCCCAGCTGATTCAATTTAGTCCAAATAATCCTTGACTTCTAGTTTCGTTTATTCCTTTCTATTAACATTTGGGTATGTCTTCCCCTGAGTGGCGATATAGTCTTTTAGTAAGACTTAAGTATCTACGACCCTACTTTATTACCCATAGAATGACCTGGATTCTTCTTTTTGTAAAAATTATTTTATTTAACTTTATTTATTATTATTATCATTATTATTTTCCAGTTTGATCAGAGAGAGAGAGAGAGGAAGTGAGAAAGCAAGCCACCAGGTCCGAGACTTGAACCGTGGTTGGCCATGTGGGAGTCCAGCGCCTTTAACCACCATGCCACTTGCCGGCCCCAACCTGGATTCTTCTAAAAGGAAACTTCTTCAGAGGCAAAGTCCTTAGGGCTCAAATATGTCCAGGAATTCGCACTTTTTCTTTTAAATAATTATTTATTCATTTATTTTAAATTTGATCAGAGAGAGAGAGAGAGAGAGAGAGAGAAAGCAAGAAAGCAAGCCACTAGGTCCAGGGCTTGAACCGTATGTGGGAGTGTCTAGTGCCCCAACCACCATGCTACCTTCTGGCCCTGGAATTTGTACTTTCAATGGTCCTTCCCAATTGTGAGTAGAAGGCACTGTAAGCAGCACTGTAACTGCAGAACTTGAGTGAGAAAGACCCAATGCATACAAATTCAATCTCTATGTTGATGTCAAATCTATGCTATTTATCTATTTAAAATAATTAAAGCCTAGATGGCTCAAGACAGTTTATTTTGACTTCATCTGTTTATTTCTTCCAAGAGACAGAGGGGAGAGAGAGGGCAGTACCCCAATAGGGCCTTTATGCAAGGACCTATCCACAACCTCAGCCAGTCAGGATCACGTGCACGAATGCCCTTGTTCTCAGGGAGACCTGGGCGTTAAAGCCCAGGACCTTCCTGTACAACTTCAGTATTGTGGAGGGTCGTGTTACCACTGTACCATCACAGCGGGCCATGACATAGTTTATAGTCCTGCCCAGATGGGGCAAGTTTGAAAACAATGTGGATTTGGATTCTCTTATTCTAGCAGTCTACCCTTATAAACTGTTCCCTATCATCTTTAAAAGGAAAATAAGCATCCTTTTCTCTACTAACTTCAATCTTCTAATATAAGAACAAATTTCTGCCAATTACTGTCAAGATAGAAAGGGTTACACTGAGCCTTCACAGGGTTTTAGTCAAAGATGGTTGTACTTAGTAACTTATCTAGGATAAAGTCCATCAGAGAAGAATTGACCTTCAAACTCATTTTGAATTTCAACAGTTTAGGAAGGAGATATTAACAGCTGTCACAACTTTGGGGGTTAATGCCATCAGACTGGCTTTCATAGAGACTGTTCACAAAGAAATGCATGGCCGAAGGGTTGTGATCATTCCATTTGGCTGACTTGTTTGGTGGCTTCAGAAGGTCGTCAGAATTTGAATCATTTATAGGAAAAGGTGCCATTACTAGGGTGCTTTGCAGTGACTCGGATGTGAAGGTGAAAAAAACATGAACGTTATGTGTTTTACTTCTACGCAGAACTGAAATGTCAAAAACACAGGATAAGACAGAAATCCATATTCATATTTTTTATGCATTTAAGAATCCTTAAATGCCTAGCCTAATCATTATTGAATTAGCGTAGTACAGATTTTTATGTCTGTTATGCATAAATTACAGATATTTAAACTCATCCCAATTTTAAAATTTAAATTCAGTCTTTACCCTTATCATTGTTTCTCACTAAAATTCCAAAGACAAGCTTAGTAGGATCATTTACTTACTGAAGTTAGGCAAAAGGATTTCCAAAAGGATCTCTATATGTATCAGGAGAGGTGGTTTGAGGAGAAGTCATCTAAAAGGATAAAACCATCCAATAAATAAAACTACAGACATAAGAAAGAACTTATAATTAAGGCTTCTGAAATTATTTTAAAAATCACTTATATCACTGACTAATGAGACATTGTATGGGTCTGCAATTATTTGTGTCCATCTACTTGTAGATGGTGATATATATTATTTACATCAAAATCAAGGTTCAGGTGAATTATATTTGCCTCCCTCAAATTGAAAGTTGTATTACTTTTTAAGGAATCTTCCTTTATGAGAGAGAGGGAGGGAGAGATAGGGAAAGGGAGAGAGACAGAGATAACTATGTTTGACAAGGTTTTGCTGTGTCATGACCCTCCTGCACCAGTCTCCCAATTTGCTAAGATTATTGGCACATGCCCAGCATGTCCAGGTTGGCTTGGGATCCAAACCCAGGCCTCCAATAGAGGTTCCAGCCTCCCAGGCAATAATGCCATCTCTGTACCACTGCAACTGGGTGTCAACGTATTATTTTTATGAGCTATAGAGTTATGGGTAGGAAACTAAGAATTTTGAAAAATTTTATAAGGTAATATTTCAGCTCGACTTTCTCCTGAAATGCTTACATGAGCTAGATCAAGTGAGATATAGAGGATATTTTCTATGTGCTATTATTTTTTAATTCTGGGGAATTCCTGTAAAGACCTTTCTCCAAATTGAATGAATATTTATACTGCAAAGATTCTAGATGATAAATCTTAGTCAAACATGCTTTACCAACAAAAAGTTGTTATAAATGCAAGGTTATTCAGGAGGTGGCAGCTCGAGATGGCATATGCTTTGGAGCAACAAATTCTAGTAGTTGGTACTTACAGAAGTTTGCGATGAACTGAAAGGATCTTTAGAGAAAGGGTTCTCAAATGCATTGTCAGCAGCTTTGGTAACTGGCAGGGCACCTTGTCTGGGAGATGGCTTTGGTGGTTCTAGAAGGCAAAATTTCCTGAGCAGTCAGTACACAAGTTTTTCCCCAGTACAGTCACAAGTCCCTCAATCAGCTTATCATCGAAATTTGGTTTTACCTGCTTGAAATTGGAATCGGTGGGATAAAAAGCACCATTACATACTTGGACTCACAGTGATTACTGTAGAAAAATTCATCCCCTCAGGAAATAAAGCCATGCATATATAGCTGAAGAAAGGAGATTCAGAATTCTCTCACTTAAAGCCAAGGAATATATTAATAGATGAAGATTTATCTTACAGCTTTCCAGATGCCACCTCCCATTGCATTTCAAAAGCTCTTGGCAACCAATTTTAGGAACTGTCACTAGAGGGCAGCATCGGGTCAGACCTTAGAAACAGGTAGCTAAGGTAAAAATGGCTAGTTCCAAAAGGTAAACGGTTGTCTCTGTAATTAATAATTACCAAAGAAGAGCAAAGCTATTGGTGGGTGGGAGAGGGCTCTACTGAGGGTCTCTGTGTCAGTGGGAAAATTTTGTTGGAACAGTAGACAGAGAAGTGAGTAGCTTACCATTGATCTTATTCAGCAGTTGATTGGCATCAAAGTCATCATGGTCTACGTTCTCCTGTGGAATGCCAACTTTGCTGTTGAAATAACTGGAGAAGGCACTGGAAGTCCCAGACAGAGTCTGCTCTCCTTTCCTTGCAGGTACAGCAGGTGGCTGCCGCAGTTGGAAGTCCTTAAACATTTCTTTCACCTCCTTGACTTCTTTATCCCCAAGTGGGTCTAAGGCAGTGAAGGCATCACTGGAGATGTCTTTTGGTGGGCCAGTCCTGGGGGGTGGCTGAGGAGGAGTGACCAGGATAGAAGAGAGCATAGAAGAGGACTGAGTGGACATGGCAGCGGGTGGAAAAATATTGCTCTGAAAAGGATTCCCCAAAGGGCTTGTTGACGACCAAGTATTGGGTGCCACTGATGCAGAAGGGCTCCAAACAACTGGGGCTGGAGAAGTTGAGGCTGCAAAGGATGAAGACTGGTTCCAACCTGGAACAGTTGGACTTGCACTAAAAACAATTGGCTGACCAAATCCTGAAGACTGACCACCCATCATGGCTCCTGGGACCATTGAAGTGGGCTGACTGAAGACTAAAGGTGTTGAGCTCCATGGTCCTGCCTGAGGAGGAGTAACTGATGTACCACCTGAAGGATGAAGGAAAAAGTCCTAATCACGAGCTTGAAAAGAATCTCAAATTTGACAATTCACAGCTTTTCAGGTAGCATTTAAAAATATCTACATGGCAAATACCTCCATTATGGCTTAAGGGTGACATAGACATAAAAGCCTTAGAGATTAAGTCATTTTAAAAATAACTACATAATCCAGTGATTATAGAAGTGGGTAGCAAACTGAACTGTAGTGCTGGAGGCCACATGGCTGACCATGGGTTTAGATTCCTGGCTCAACCCGAAAACACACCACTTGCATGCATATGCCTAGAATCCGAGGAGCTAAAGGGCTGGGAATAGGGATGCCAGGATAATGAAGCCCTGTTGGGGGTGCTTCTCTCTTCGATTCTCTCTCTTATGTACACATTTTCTACCATGAAATAAATATTGCTTGCATTTCAAAGCTCCCATTCTTTCTGCCACATCTCTTTAACTTTCTACATCAGAAGGTTAATATAGTCCATAAATATCTTGTCATAAAGAGCATGAGCTCTCATATGTACACTGACGTATTTCTAATAGGAGCAGTCCATCAATAGCAGAAACGTACTTGTTGAGAGAATGCATTTATAGACACAAACCACAATAATTGTGAAGCAGTTAATTGAGATAATTCACTGGGCTCTCTGAGTCATTCATTGGATCTTTTCATTTGGCAGCTGGCTTGTGTCTGCTGTCTTATGGAAACCAGTTAGCACACATGTGTATGAGGCCTTAACATACTTGCCTCCCGAAAAAACCATTTCAAAGTTTCCTTCCTTTTTAATGCTGCCAAGATTGACACAGCTATATAAAGAGAAGATAAAATTTGGATGATGTCAAGATACTTTTAGGCTTTTATATATATATAAATGGAGGAAAGGCTGTTATCCCGGCAGGACTGTTTCAAATAAAATTGCTTCCTGCCACGTGTCACTCACTGAACCTCACGAGAAGTTAGAATGGAATAGTTGAAAGAGGGAGGGGAGAGAAGACAACAGAAAACAAAAACCTTCCAATATAACTTATTGCCTGTGTCTGAGCATCCGATCTTGGTGAATGAAAGGCTCCATCCTCAGCACCTTTGCCATATAGGTAAAGCACTAGTGCAATCCCTAAAAATACAGGTTTCTCCAGTGATTCCCTTTCTTGAGAGACTGATCTACTGCCTCTTGCTTTAATATAAAGGGTGTTTTCTTCCTGCCTACTCTCAAGTGTATTAATGATTCAGTTAAACTGTTGTCACTAACCCAAATCCTAAATTCAACCTCCTACATATTCAGTTACTCATGGATGATATTCTGCTCTCCAAAACTGATTGTTTTGAGTTCTGGAGAAGAGCAGTCTAAACTTTTCTTAGGTTCAAATTTTGGCTAGAAATGTTTTTGTTCCCAGAATGAGAACTAGTGTTTAGGATCTGATGCAGCAGGATATTCTTAGATCTTTTTATTTTATTATTTTAAAAAATTTAACCAGAGGGAACCAGCAGTTAGCGTAATGGCTATGTCGCTGGACTCCCATGTAGTCGACCGCGGTTCGTGTCCCGGACCTGGTGGCTTAAAACTCACGCCAGGCGTGTGTGCATGTGTGCCCAAGATCCTGAGAGGAGAATGGAGGAGAAGGGATTGCGGTGTGACCATCCCCCCTATAGGGTGATTTCTTGCTTTCTGTCTCTCTGTCTCTCTCTGTCTGTCTGGCGAGCGCACGCGCCCTATAGCGAAAAACCTCTCAAAAAAAAAATTTAGCCAGAGGGCACATGTGCTTTCTGAAGGCAAAAAAGAGAGAGAAAAAGCAACTCCTAAGGAGGATGGACACATCCTTCCATTTCTTCCTCCTTTTGGGGTTTTGGGCATGGGTGTACACATGACTGGTGTGTTTTTAAGCCACTGGGTCCAAGAATTAAATTGCATAGTTGGCCATGTGGGATCCAGCTGTCTTAACCACGATGCTACCAGTTGGACCTTAGATTTTCTCAGTATGGGAGATTGGGTATTGCCTGACTCTAGATCACAGACCTTCTTGCCATGAATACATACAAAGTACTCACAGAAAGTGGTAGGTTTCGAAAAAGGCTGACTTAATCAACACACTTCATTTTGAGATGAAAGAACTGGGTACAAGAAGATTAAATAAAATTGGTAAGACGGGGGCAGTGGATGTCGTGGTGGTTAAAGTGCTAGGTCACACATGACTGACAGCAGTTTGAGTCTTAGATCAGGTGGCTTGAAAAATCACACTAGGTGCATGTGCATGTGTGCCCAAAATCCTGAGGGAAGAATGGAGGGAGGAAAAGGGATCGCGGTGTAGCCATACCTCCTGGGTGGTGATGTCTCACCTCCTCTCCCACCCCGTCCCCTCTTTCTCTGTTAAGCATACATGTTCTCTGACAAAAATATTTTTAAAAAAAACAAAAACCCCCAAACTTGGTAAGATCAGACTGTGATAGCAAAGACTGAAACAAGTACTCTAGCTTTGAATCTAACATCCCATTGTCCATCTTACACCCTGTTGTCCTCTTTTGCCTCCTTGACAGTGAGGAACAGAAGTGGGTTTTAAAAAAATTTTTTTTTGGTGAAGTTTGTTTTATTCTCTATCATGAGAATGTATGACAAAGAGATGTGAAACAGCTTGCACATTGAAGAGAGGAGCACACAAGGCAGGGTCTCCTCATGCCATGGTCTGTTCCCTGAGCCTTCTAGCCATCCAGGATCATGGTGTGCATGCAGGCATTTAGCAAGTCTCAGGTTGACCTGGGATCTTCACCCCAGTGCTGCGGCTCCAACATTACAAGGTGGTGCACTTTCACCTGCATCACCATTACAGTAAATGGTACCTCAACTCAGATACTTAGGTTACAGATAAAAGAATTAGACTTCATTATACTAAAGAATACACTCCTTTCAATAACAAATCAAGGGAAAAGTTCTCTTAGATTCTATAATACAGGTTCTAATTGCTAGTGTCTTAACCTAAGTTGATGAAAGCTTGTGAACCAAAGTCAGAGTCACTCATTAACAGTTTCTACCAATTGGAAGTACAAAAATAGAGGGTCGAATTTCACCATTGTTCATGTTGGACTGCTCGCCTTCCCTCAGGAAAATGCATGGCTTTTGCCATAGATTGTATTAGTGGGAACAGTGCTTGTAAAAGAGAAAAATATTGTATTTGCCAGGAATTAAAGGCCTTCCCAGTCTATACCTCTGCTACCTTCCCATCCACCAGATTCCACAGGTTGTGTTTCCAAGATATTTAAGACCCAGCTGGAGAAAGAGGCAAGAAATAAGGAAAAAGGGAGGATAGTTATAAAACATTAATTTTATTATCTCTGAAGCTAAATCAAAACACAGACTAGCATACCAAAGCTATGGGCTCAGTTTTCTACAATACCCTCTCCTCACCCCCCCCCCCCCCCCCCCCCCCCAGTTCACAGAGAAGACAGTTTACCAGCTGGGTCTGGCAGAAGCCAGACCTACAACCTTCCATGGTTTGGCTAAGGATCCCTGCTAGGGACAGGGGCTATTCTGTGGAGCTCAGTTTGAGTTCCATGTCCAAACTTGGAAGAATCATCAGTATTCTGCAGTTGTATACCCCAAGGCCTCAACAGGGGCACCTAGCCAAAAAGCTTCACTTCGTCTGCATAAATTAACAGTTATCGGGTCCAGCTGTATTTTCAGGCTGACTTGTTAAATATTGGCTGTAAAAATTCTTCAGGGCATTGATATTAGACTACAAAGCTGCGTGATATGATCTAGTCACAGGCACTGCATGCAAGTTCTCTGTCCTTCTGGGAGGGAAAGGCACCTACTCGCTCCCCTTGGGGGTGCAGAAAAAGGAGCAAAAGAAAGAAGCGAAACCCCCAAGAGATACAAAATATTTAGGGAGTCTCTGGATGGTATAACTGCAAGTAGAGACCTGGAACAAGTTTTTTTTTTTTATACCCAAATGGATTTCAGCTGCTCAGCAGTTGAGTAACAATCCCCCTCTGGCCACCCTACTCAAGAGATGATTAAATAGACTTATTGTGACAGAACCAAAATATTTTACTTTGCAGGAAAACAGCAGAGGAAAAAATGAGGATCCTGATGACTAGCTCTGCAGGAGGCAAGGAAAGCCAAGATCCATGGTCAAATTTTACCAAAGGGAGACATTTCATCTGTAGTCCCCCACTGCCTAAGCTAAAGGCTATTTGGAGTTTGTAGAGGTGCCAAGTAGGAGAAAAACAAAGACTGTCCTCAGCAGGACTGCAAACACTATTGTTGGGGTTTCTGAAAACTGTACTATAGCATCCACAAAGAACTGGAGGCTATGGATGAAGAGTGGCTAGGCCAGCCCTCAGTCAAGTGACCTTCTCCATCGTTGGCAGCTTGTGACACATTTATGAATGAAAGTAGCAGCACATCATCAGTATGCAATCAAGTTCTGCATCTTATCTCTGTGCTCCTTTCAACTTCAGCTTTCTAGTGCTATCTTTTAATTCTGTTAAGGCGCTCAGGTAGCCACAATTTTGGCAAAGAAGCTGCTAAGGTGTAAGTATTTAGAATTAAGCAGGATACACGCCTCTCCCACACTTACCATCTGCCTCGGAACAGAGCTGGACCCAGACTGTAGGTATTTTGTTCTGTTACTTATACGTACTTCAGACTTAACTCATATCCCTCCTCTTTCAAGACAGATCCAAGTTTTGATATGGGATAGGCCTTCAATCTGGTTCTGGCAAACAGCATGGAATTCATGCATAATGTTGCATTCCTTAGCACATGAGGCTCTCTCACCTCAACCCTTCTTTACCTCTGAAGCTGGTCTGAGCTTCAGATTTCCTTACAATTCTTCCAGGAGGCCATTAACAGTTGGTTCAGGTAAGTGGAATGTCACAAATGTATTTCTTGTCGCATGCCAACTCAAAGTGCCAGTCTTCTGTTACAGATCAAGAGAATCAACTTGGGTAGAGTCACACAGGAGTAAAAGTGGGAGAAGAGCTCCCTAGGATGCTCAGGCTTATGCCCATGACACCATCTATGGATATAAAGCACCTTCCACCTATTTGCCATTATTCTTTGAGTGAAAGGTACAGAGCCATACCTCTTATCTGCACCTACCTAGACCCGCAAGAGGCCCCATTGGGGCAGAAGCACTTGTTTTGAAGAGATCCAGAGGGTTGGTCTGTTGAACTGCAGATTGTCCTGTGGGTGACGTCTGGCATGGAGGCTCTGAGACAGGAGGAGCAAAGATGTCTGATGCAAGCAAGTCATTGGCTGAAGACTGACAGGACAGGGAGAAGAGTTTCTCAGTAACAGTGAAATACAAATTTGAGAGTCACAAAAGGAGAACAGTTTTCTACTACCAAAAAAAAAAAAAAAAAAAAAAAAAAAAAAAAAAAAAAAAAAAAAAAAAAACACCCCTCAAAAAAAAAAAATTGTGCACAGAAAAAAAAAAAAAAAAAAAAAAAAACAAAGATAAAAAAACAACAACAACTACCACTATCAAAGAAAAAATAAATTATACAATGGGCAGACTATTGGGTCTTCATGACTGATATAACCTAGCACTTGTAAAGTGAAATCTATTTATATACTTGTAACTATATCTGTAAACTAAAAGCTTGAAGCTGGGAAAGAATAGGCAACTATAAATAAGTCTCTTAAATATTTCTGATGATTTCATTGGATTAAATCATTCTATAGAGAGACAACACAGTTATCTCGTAGGCAAGTCTGCATTTTTCTAAAACACTTTAACAGATAATTACAGAAATTGCATATTTAGTTGCTTTTGAATGATACTGGCAACCATAGCGGTAATAATAAATACACATTTCTTCTAAGAAAATGGGTTATAAAGTCAGCATTAAAAAGAGGAGACAAGCTCGAGAATTTGACACCACCACCTTGAACATTAATGAAATATTATGGGGGGTGCCAAGCATGTATTAGTGTGGGGAAGGAACAAAGGGAATCAAAAGAATTCTTGCCCTCCCCTCCCAGAACATAATGATCAAACTTACCAGAGGTATAGAAGCATAGCAGCATTAAAAATGGAAAAACTTGTGTTTAGTTTAATAGTAAGTGATAACACATGCAAACGGAAAGCAGGGTGTGACAAACACTGCTGAGCAGCTTAAAAAGGATGGCAATTAAAAGAGAGCATTCCTGGAGAACCGACGTGCCTTATCCCACCGTCTATGTTACAGCCACACAGGAAAACTAAGCAGCAGGAGAGAGAGCTGTCATCACACCACCCTTTGGTACCGAACATGCACTCTGCTAATGGACATGTGGAGAAGATAATTCACCTTAGCAGTCCTTCTGCCTCGTCCTGGTTTGGTACTTTGTGGAGGTGGGATAATGGCTATGGAGTCATGTGGTGAGGACTGGACAGAGCTTTCCAAGTCCTGCTTTACGCCATTCGGTACAGATAGTCCTTTGGGAGGGCTTCCCACAAAAGGGTTCGGGGAGGATTTGATATGGAAGCCATTGTGTTCTCTTTCAGATACCCCATTATGAGTCCTCACTGTTGGCTGGGTTTGCGTACTCGGAAAAGACCACGGTCCTGCCTGAGCTTCCTGTTTACCAGTTCGGTTAGAGATTTGGTCAAACTGCTGACCAAAGTAATCAACATCACCATTCATGGGCCCATTACTCAGTGGAGGAGGCAAGCTACTCGAATTCTCTTTCTTCTGGTCTGGAGATTTGAGAGAATCAAACGAAGAGGGTGTCGATTGGTCTGGTTGTGCAAAAGGATCATCACGGAAAGGATCAGGATTAGGGGTGGGAAAGAAGTTGAGATTGGCAGAAAAGGCATTTTCAGGCAAGAAGGATGCCTGCGGCTTTGGTCGTGGAAGAGAGCAGGAGGTGATGCCATTTGTTAAGAATGGATTTTCTCTTAAAGAATTCTGATTGGTGTCGATTTCAGAGTTTAGATCCACTAACAGGATATCTTTGCTTTCCTATCATATTTGGAAAGAAAAAAAAAAAAGAGAAAGTGTTAGTCCATTTTGTGATTTCAAATGAGAAAACTACATAAAATGACCAGGATCATCAAAGTTCCCGTTAGAACTTGGTCTTGACAAACTAGTTAACCATTACCTCCTCCCATCAACTCCAGAGTGCACTTAGTTGTGGATGAAGTCCTCCCTGCCCCACCTGCTCATGCCCTGTTTTGTAACTCTTAATCTCATTGACCCTTCATTAAGTGCAATCTTGCTGTTTACTTCATGTCTCTGTTCCCTTTTCACACATACAGATTGGCTGAGTTTATCAGCATTGTTTCCATTCATGCCTTTGAAAGTCTGAAAAGGAACTGATGGTGAGTTGCTCTCAATATCCAAGTACGCTGAATTTGAAAGTAGCTCAGCCAGCTACCCGATGTACATACAGTCCCTTTTATTATACCCCAGAGTCATTAGCATTGCCACGCTAAATGAGCCTGTGCTCATGTATTTAATGAACTCCTCAAATATTTAAGGTTCTTGTTGAAGGTGTTGGTCCAATGGGGTCTTTTATCCTCACTATTCTAATTTCTCCTCTGGACATATCCTTTTTGTCTATGTGCCTCTATAAAAAGTGACACTCAAAGTATAGATATGTTTTTACCTATTATTTCACATTAGCCTCTTGTCTGTGCACATTTTTTTCATATCATAGCTCAGAGTTGCCTGTGTTTTGACATCTATTTAGTGGTTAAAGTAAACCAATAACTAATTGTAATTTACATTTAAGGTAGAAATGGTTTAAGAGTTAATTTGAAAGACATACTAAATACACAATTCTATTATTTCTATACTCCTATCATTTCTCTGGTATGTTAATTATGTGGGTTTTCAATTGTAAGACATTACAATTCTTGGCACAAAAGTGGGAAATTTGATGAATCTGACATGTCTTATCCCACTTAATAACATACCTAATAATGATTCACCCCAGGATAGAGCTGTCATACTGACAGATCTTTTTTCTGACTGAGTTTGATCCATTAAACACTTAACTATGCTAGTCATAGAAGAATATAAACAAGAAAAGAAAATGACTAGTTGAATGGAAGTTCTAGTAGTCATCTAGCATTACTTTGGGTAGAGTCCTACATATTTTGATCATTGGAACAATAACAACTTCAAGGAAATGTGACATTCTCCAACTATTAAGTACCAAAAGGGCTTAAATAGGCTTTCTTGGCTTTTAGAGAAAAGAACAAATGTTTAAAAAGTTCAAGTCCTACTTTGTGGCCATAGAAGACACAGCAAATCAGACTTAAATGGTACTTTATCTTTTGACTTCCTTTACTGTGAAGTATAAAAACACAATTTTTAAAAGTCAGGTTCTCTTTTATAATCAGAAGAATTTCTTACAAGAGCTTGTAATTTCAAAAATTAATCAAGGAAACAGATTAAAAGTCCTCTTAAGGCAGGGATCTTTATGCAATCAAAAAGGAGAAAATGTTTTACAAAAGCTTGTGATTTCGATATTTATTCATTTCGTATGAGCCACCTCTGGTTTAGAACAGTTGGGTTCACAGCTGGTAGAGTTCTCCTTTTCAAATACTTCAGAAGAAGTTCTTAGGACACCAAACAGGAGCCACAATGTTAAACTTCTGAATAGTCACCCTACAAGTAAAATGTATAAGGCTCTCCTCAGGTCAGGTTTGTTGTTAATCCAAGATTAAGAGTCTAGTTCAATTGGCAGATATGAGACTTCTTCTTCACTCCCTTGGCCAGAGCTTCATTCATTCCATCAACACAGCAACCACTCAGCCACCATTTGAGTGCCTGAGCAAAAGTCACTGGAGACATGAAAGTGAATTACAGTCCCTACTCATAAAAATCTCTGTAAGAGGAATCTGATCTTTCTTCATAAAGACAAGGTTTTAAACCATGAATTCCAGAATTTAGCTCATGTCTGAGTAGCTAATCCTACCTAACCATTCTAGTTTGCCAAATCAGGAACTTCCCTACTTAAAGCCTTTGGTGGTATTGCTACTCCCTTTATTAAAATAAGCTTTCTTAGGCTGACTTTCAGAATGATTCACAATAGGGCTCAATTTATTGTTGACCTAGCTACTATTTTCCTACTACACACTTCAAAGACCCAATTCAAATTCAGATTCTTTACAAAGCTTTTCACCATTGATCTTCGTATGTCAGCTCTACATGTGTCTGCCCATCTTATGGAATGTGTACATGACACATTTTATACTCTGATCTCATCCCTTGTACCATATTTAATCTTGTTGAATGGATCATACCTTATGGTATTCTCACAATAAATTGCTTAAAAATGGTGAGTTTTTAAAGTTAGCATGCCTTTTATGCTTTTGTTTTCCTTTTCCTTTCTGTCTGTATTTATTTATTTATTTATTCATTCATTTTATTATTTATATTTTGGTTTGAGATGCATTATGGAAGGGTAATACTCAAGTCATTTTTCAATAAATTATGTTCTAAGGGATACCCCTTAGTTTGCAACATGAGCATTATTTGAAATGCATAAAACTCTTCTGTAAAAATTTGGGGGTAGTGATAGCCATTTGGAACTATTAAGACAGCTTATCTCACTGAGATTTCCTTCTGTGTTAACGTCTTCCAGAGATATTGTTGTAAGAATTGAGTAGCTTTAAACATGCTTTTATCAAGTAGAGATACCTACAAATATTGAGTTGATAAGTAAGAACATGCTGTCAAAGTCTAACCAGTACAGAATTTGCCCTGTTGGCTTTCTCTTATCAGATACCATCCATCTTGATGGTGTTTATTGCTTTAATTTATTATTAGTTTAACTAAAACTTCCATAAATAAAATCCTTAAGACTACATGAAATCTAATAAAAATAACAGGGTTACCCATATTTTTTCATTTCCTTTACAGAACTTTCTAGATGTCTATAAAAGCAATTAAATAGTTAGTCCTTCCTTGCTTATCCCACTGGAACTCCACTTCATATCTTGAGTGCTTTACTTTCAGTACACTTGTCTGGATGTCTTTTATCCTTGGAAAGTAGGTCATTCACATACTGATTTACTTTGGGACATGACTACTAATGGACGAGAGGACAAAATTATCTAGGAATCAAAAGGATCTCAGGGCTAGATTGTACCTTTCAGTGTTATCTAATCTAGTATTCCAAAAAGCTTATCCTTAAAATTATAACAAACATGAAGAATGAAAATTTCGATAGACATATACATTAGAACCCATTGCTAAACACACTGAGCAGGCTTAGCTATTGCATATTTTTAATTTTAGAATCTAAGCCACCATGCATTGTGACTCTCAGGTGGTTGGGGGCAGAGAAGAGGGCACACACCTCCTACTTCTCCCTGTTGTGTGTGACCCAAGTGTTATACATAGTGAGATTTCACAGGTGTGGCATTTTCTGCAATACCATGGGAAGTGAGAATCTTATACCACCATCAGTCTGCTGCTTGAGTCTCTGTGACTCTAACCTTCTTGGCCATGAAGGCTTGCTTGGAAATTTCCTAATAGAAGAGATTCCTAGCTAGAGAGTTCCCCCATTATTCAAGACTAATTCTCTTTTTGTCTAATTATTATCTTTCTCAATCTAGAAACTAATTTCCTCAGAAATATTATCTGAACCTATAAACTAGATAGATACCCTAAATTAACATCAATTAATAGGTTTTGTGATTAGTTTTCATGTTGGTCTCTGTGCTAGATAGCAAATTCCACAATGTCATTCATGTTGCTTATCTGACTAACTCTGTACCTTATAACTAGCAAGAACTCAAGGAATTGTTAAATATATAATAGAAGTTGTAGTAAGTCATCTCAAATCACATGGATATTTTTACTAGAAACTTTTTTGGGGGGATCCGAAAACCTGGGCTTTAGCCTTGAACCTGGACCACTTTTCTCGGTGAATGAAGTTTCTGCTGAATCACCACATCCTTATCTATCAAGAAAAATATTACTCCATTCCCACTGGCTTATTACAGATCAATCAATAGTAACAAGACTTCATATACTATAATATCCTTTAAAGAATAACAATTTTCTAACAAGGATAGGCTTTGATTAAACATAACTAAGCCTCATGTTGAGTCTTCACACGAAGCTTATGTTAAATTACAACAGAAAGAGTGGGACAAATGAAGAGGTCAGGAGGCTTTATGAGTAATCATCTAAGAATCATACTTCCTTCAAGTAGGCTTAGCCAAGGATTATTCTTAAATTCCACCTACTGATCCTAAATAAGAAGGACTACATTTACCTGACCTATTGCTCAGATTTAAACTCTAAGCAATATTATTTGTGCCAGTAGATTCCCATGGTGACTTAATATTTAAATTTACACTTTATATTGGAAAACCAGCAGTCACCTTTAAAGTTTCAATGAGATGCTCAAGATTTCTATTAATTGCCAATTTGAGTTATATTGTCATTTCCATCACATTGCAAATTTAAAAACAAACACTTACTGTTGGACTATTTAGGTCAGGAGGTGTAGACATGGCCCCAAACAAATCCATCTGGTCAACACCCTTAAAAAAGTATTTGGATTAGATTCAGATGTCTACTAAAAATCTTACTTTGTATAATCTTTGTCGTAATCATTTGTTTCCTAAACTAAGGTTTAGGAAAACAATGGTCACAATTTGATTTTTCATTTAACTAATACAGATTCGATAGTAAGTTATTTAGGCCAGGAAATAGACATATCCCAAACAAATCCATTTGGTCCACATACTTAAAGTATTTGGATTACATTCAGGCATGTCTACTGAAAAGGTTACTTTCTTTACACTGACATAAATATTCACTGATGTTTAGGAAAGTTTTTTTTTTTTTAATTGGATTTTCATACAGATTCAATACTGATTAAACATTAACAACATCCATGGAAGTGGAATCCATATTCAGATAAGTAAGTAATCAGAAAATGTTACATACATACCAATTTCAGTTTGTTAGCTTGGTCATCAAAACTCAGTAGGGTCTCATTCCCATTCTGGAAAGATGGCAAATATTTAAGGATTTAGCTGAGTTTTCCCTACAAAGTTTGTTTGTTTTAGGTTTTTGTCATAGGGCACACGTGCACCAGAGAGAGAGAAAGGGGAAGTGAGAAATCACCCCCCAGGGAGGATGGCCATGACACAATCCCTCTCTTTTCAAGATTTCTGTCATGCACACACATGCACCTCATATGTTTTTTAAGCTGCCAGGTCCAGGACTCAAACTACAGCCATGTGGAAAGTCCAATGCCTTAAGTACTACACCACCTGCTGGCCCCCAGAATTAACTTTCTTGCTGTACTGACTGCTAAGCAGCATTGATCATTGAACTGTACAAGGACACTTTGAAAAGTTCATGGCATTTGATAGAAAGTGGATGGATATGGAAGATTTATGGTTGAGAGAAGCAAGCCAGGCTATGCAAGAGAAACACTGTATGTTTCCAGTTAACATATACTGACTTTCTGTATTGGAGGATGTAAAAGCATTGAAAATAGTTATGGACATTTTAGACAGCATTGAAGGAGGGTAGAAGGAGGGTGGGAGATGAGAAGAGCATAGGGACAGAAATT